AAGACCGTGACGGTAGGTACCAAATGGCAATTGGCAACGACACCGACGCCGACGACGACAGCGACAACGACGACGACGCCGACGACGACTACGACGACCCCGACGACGACGACGACGACGACGCCGACCACGACGCCGACGACGATGCCGACGACGACGATGACGACGCCGACGACGCAAACGACGACGACGCCGACGCCGACGACGACAACGCAAACGACGACGACGACTACAACGAAAACGACGAAGACGACGACGACGAGGGAGGAGGGAGGACGGCGAAGACTCGAACGACGAAGAAACAGGGAGGACGGCGACGCCGACGACGACAACGACGAGGGAGGAGAGAAGACAATGACGACGACGACGACGGCGACGAAATAGGAGGGACGACGACGAGGCGCCGACGACGGACGACGATGACGACGAGGGAGGAGGAAGGACGATCACGGCGACAACGACGACGGAAACGACGACGACGCCAAAGACGACGACGACGAGGGAAGACAAAGGACGACGACCGCGACGACGACGACGACGACGAAGGAGGAGGGAGGACGGCGACAACGACGACGACGACGCAACAGCGCGCGCGCATTTTTTTTTTGAAAATCCGTGTTGCGAAACCATGTTTTTTTTTGTTTTTTTTTTTTTTTGGTTTGAACACTCTATTTTGAAATCCTTCCGACACCGAAGGATTTTGAAGGATTTCGGCATGCGCGCGCGACGACGCGCGCGTGCGCACTTCGCTTCATTATTTGCGGAAGATTCTCGCGACGGCACGCGCGTAAGGGCATTCGAATGATTTCGACACGCGCGCGCGAGGCCCGTTTTGTAGCATGTTCTGAAAATCTGGAAAGGGCTTTGGTTTTCTTACGAATTCGCAAGAGCGCACGCGTAAGTTTTTTGGGACCAGCAATGTTGCGAAACCTTTCCTTTGATATATGTTTGTTTTTGATACTCGATTTTCAAATCGTTCCGAAACCGCAGGTTTTTGAAGGATTTCGGCATGCGCGCGCGACGACGCGCGCGTGTGCATGTCGTCTCATTTTTTGCAAGGAGCTCTTCACACATTTTGTTTGTTGGCAAACGAATGCGCGCACAATTTTTTTCCAGAAGATGGCGGGGGGGGGGCGATACCGGCCCCCCTGGGATAGTATTGATTCAATTTTCGGACGGACATTGGGTCAGGATCCTATGTGTTTGGCATCGGTTCCCGGGGGGTCTTTAACCGGGGGGGGAAGGTGGTAGAATTGATTTCCTTTATTAAAAAGGAGAACCAACGTGATGCCTTATATGTTGTGCGATCTATATAGTGCGCAATCTGCGTGGTAAAAATAATTTCTGTTCACAATGAGTTGTCCACTCCGCTGCTCGCGCAATCCTCCCACCCACCAGCCCGCATTGTAATTTGCAAACCCCATGCGGCGGTGATTGCGATGGGCGCTTGGGTTTGGCAAGTGCATCTATGCGGCCGCGCTAGCCCGCGCATGCTCGCGCGTGCAGCGGTCATCTAGTTTGGCGCGACAGACGCCGCCGCGATGGCGCTGACCGCTGGGCACTTCCCAGCGGGCACTTCAGTGCGAGTCGGCGACTTGGGCGATCGCGGTATCATGGCAACGTCGACGCCAGTAAACATGATGATGCTGTGCGGCGAGGCTGGTGACGATGATGACAACGACGACGGCAATGCCAGTGGCGGCGCTGATGCTGATCTCGCCGGCGCCGATGACGGCGTCCTCGCGTCGGTGATGAAAGTATCGCGCGCGGCCAACGCGCGAGGGTGGCCCGCGCGGCATGACTTGACGCGGATCGTGCCCACACCAGCACGTGCGCAAGGGCGTTCGACTGATTTCGACGAACGCAGCATCTTTGAAAACATATGTTGCAAAACCATGTGTTCTTTGAATGTTATCGGAGCGCCCGATTTGGACATCCATGCGGAACGCATCCGGCATGCGCGCGCGACGACGCGCGCGCGAACTTCGCCGCGTTTTTTTCAACATGGATTCTTGCGACAACGCGCGCGCAAGGGCGTTCGGGCGAGTCCGACATGCGCGCGCGAGAGGCTCGCTTGGTGGATAACATGTTGATCAGCCTTGGGCTTTCTTAAGGATTCGCAAGATCCCGAACGGATTTGTCTGGGGCCGATCGCGACCGCCGGCGCTCGGCAGGAACAGCGCCATCAGGAGCATCGGGGACGCCGCGCTCTTGGGCAGCATCTTCGCGATCTTCTCCAACAGAAATTGCAGCAGGAGCATCATGGCCGCGATGTTCGCGTGGGCCATTTTCGCGAATTTCATCAGCAGGAGCAGAATTCGACCACCGAAAGACCTGAAGATGAACGGTGGCCATTGTCGGGGACGGTGAAATGGTCGAGGGCGCAATAGATCGTGTTCAGAACACCATGGGCGCGTGCGTGAAGCACCGGCGGAACGCAAGTAGTCGCCGAATCCTGGGGGGTGACCTTGGTATTTTCCGTGGTCGTGGCCTGGTTGATCGACGTCGTGATGAAAAGCGATGTGCCAGCGTTCATCTGGCCGACCAGCCATTCGAAGCGAGCAGCAGCAACCGTGGCAAAGGAGGCGGATCCACGGGGGGGGGTAGGCGCCCGGATGTAGCCACTGAACCCAGCAAGTGCTTGAGCCAAAATTGTTACCCCGTTGGATCGCATGAGTACATTTGTTTTTTAAAGGAACCTAGGATTTTCCAAAACACTCGCAAGATGATTGTGTTGAACATTTTTTGGCGAAGCAACATAATATATACATGTATGTATGTATGGATGCATGCATGCATATATGTATGTATATATACACATGTATATATGTATATATGTATATATGTATATGTATATATATGTGTGTACATATGTATGAATGTTCTTCGGACTCTCGATTTTTTGAATCCATGCGACACCTGGGGCTTTTGATATTTTGGTATGCGCGCGACGACGCGCCCGTGTGCACTTCATTTTCCTCTTCCACCGCGTTCTTGAAGAGTAATGATTTCGGATCAAGGAGTGATTCGTCGCTTTTCTTGCAGAGGAGGGAGGGGGGGTCCGGGGGGTGAAAGGGTAGAACCGACCTGTAGCGAAGAGGACCTGTATGTGGTGGCGGCGGGGCGCCGACGTCGGCAACATGCGCGGCGACCGACCGAGAGGCCCACGCGACAGGAAACGACGAAACGGCGACGGGGCGGCGACGGCGGACACATAGCCGCCTGACCGACGGACAAGCCCAGACGACGGGCGGCGACGTGGCGGCGACGGCTGCTACATGGCCGCCAGACCGACAGACAGGCCCAATTCGTTCAAAAAGAAGCAAGACCCCTAAGTGCAAGCACTGTTCGGGGACGAACTACACGTGTGGACGAGCGGGCTGGTTGGGCGGACCCTGACAAGAGGGTCGACCGGGCGGGCCCTAACGTGCGGGCCCGAAGGTTTTCCACGTTACAATCAAACTCTGAGCAACGCGCGGGTGGAGGGAGGGGAGCGGGTAGAGTCGAGTGGAATTCATGTCAGCTTGCGATTCACAGAAATATGGGGGGCGCATGATTAAACATGCTTCGTCTACTCGGGCGCATCCCGGGGGGGGGGGGGGCGCCAAAGTGAAACGCACGGCAGCGGCGTTTGTGATTCGCGCCGACGCCAGGCCGACTGCACAAGGGCGACATGCGCGACGCAAGCGGCACTGCTTCAGAGGAGGGAGACAGCATCGCCTCCGATATAGCGAGGCGGTTGGGCCAAAACGACTACAGACAGGAGAGAAAATGAAGGCGGGGGGAAACAGGGCGCCTCAAAAAAGAAAGAGGGAGGAGCGGAAGAGGCAGGCGACAAGGGTTCCTCCTTCTCCTTTTTCCCTCACTCCCCCACCCCTCAACTGCAATGTCCGGCGACGACGACAACAACGACGACGATGATGACGACGACGACGACGACAACGACGGCGACGGCGACGGCAACGACGACGACGACGACGCACTGCGGGTGCCCCATGGGGAGGGGGGGGTGCTGCGTAGGCCCGGCCCGCTGTAGACGACGACGATGACGACGACGACGGCGACCACGACGACAACGACGACGACGACGACGACGACGGCGACGGCAACGGCGACGGCAACGACGACGACGTACTGCGGGTGCCCCATGGGGAGGGGGGGGTGCTGCGTAGGCCCGGCCCGCTGTAGACGACGACGATGACGACGACGGCGACCACGACGACGACGACGACGACGACGACGACGACGACGACGACGACGACGACGACGACGACGACGACGACGGTGGCACGTCAGTAATCAGCCTGAGAAGGGGGAACCGATTCGCCTCGGATGTATACGATCCCTATAATAACTTCTATACGAAAGGCAATCGTTTTGAGGCTGCCGTGCATGGGGGCACACGATCCCTTCGCTTTGACGGCGCCCGCGACGATCCCCCGGCGCGAGATTAAAGACATTGTTTCGTGCCCCGCGGGGTCTATTCATCAGCCCTGGGGGGCGGGGGGGGGCCTCATTTGTTGACCACAGGCTGACATTCGGATGGGGGAAACTGCAAAAACCTTTCAGAACGGCGTGCCCGAAATGTCCCGCGACTCACCCGCCCCCCCGCGACCCCGCCGCGACCCCGCCGCGACCCCCCCGCGACCCACCCTGCGACTCACCCGCGACCCACCCGCGACACACCCGCGACTCACCCGCGACCCAGCCCGCGACCCACCCACAGTGCTTTAGCGAAAAAAACAGCGCCTGCGGCCAGCTCGTTGTATAATTTGCCTCGCAGACTGCCGACGTCCCCGCCGCCCCCTCACTCTTATACGCAACTGCGGGGGTGCTACGCATCTTTTCCTTCCCCCTCCTCCTCCTCCTCCTACTGCTTCCTCCTCATCCAGCTCCTCCTTCACCTCCTTCACCTCCTCCTACTCCTCCTCCTCCTCTTCCTCCTCTTTCCTCCTCCCACGAAGGGCCTCCCCACCAACAGAGCAGAGAGCGGGCGGGGCCCTCGTGCTGCAGCTCCGTGCGGGCCGGGTGCTCCGCGAGCGCTGCCCGCAGCCGCTGCGGGGCGCCCGCGGACCTGAGGCTGGCGGGCGGAAGGGGGAGGGGTGGGGGGAGACTGCCAGCAACCGTGCACGTGGCGGGTTCCAGGAGACGCTGCCCCCCCAACAAATGTCATATCTTGGCGGCGCATATCTTACGTCCGCCGGCTTCCGCGGGCGGAGCCGCCCCTGTTTACTTCGCCGAGGAAGAGACGACAACTCCTTCGGCCCTCGGATGCGAGGGCCTTTCTGGAACGCCTCACGTGTTGCGCAAGAGCGAAGGCGACGCGATGTAGCGGCTGCTGACCATGATCATGCAGCCATTCTTCAGACAGGTCAAGGCGAACACCGACTTTTGGAGTTCCCAAGTGCGCAACCGATCTTGGCAGAAAAATAACGTTGAACGAGCCGTCGTGTGCTTGAATCCTTGGGGTGCCCAGTTTCTACGGGAGGGCGGGGCGGGGGAATCCAAGACTCGATATTGGTGTCGAACAAGGACTCTCCATCATGTGGTGGTGGCTCAAGGCGGGGTGGGATGGGGTGGTGGTTTATGTGCCGCTGGTGGTGGTCCAAAGGGGATGGTGGTGGTAGTGGATGGGGTGGCAGCCGAACGCACTGGCACGATACACAGACTGGGGGCGGGCCTCCTCGTCGCCCTCCCCTCGTCATGGAGGAAAGGCCAGAGGTTCGAGGTTCGAGGATCGAGACTTTCTGAATACGTCGGGCCCATTTTGGGCGCCCAGGAGGCCCAAGGGACGATGTTTGACACCCAAGCCGAACATCGTCAGAAAGAACAAAGATCCCGTAAGGAAGGGATCCTGAAGGCGTCTCGCCGTAAGTACTTACGGTCAGGAACATTTGGATAACGTGTCGCGGCGGCGGCCCCAGCGACACGCTTTGCCTTGCAAGCGGATAGCGTGTCGCTCCGATCCGGGGGGCGGGAGGCTCGGAAAGGCTCGGGACATTGGCGCTTGGAAATGGGACGTGGCTAGCGTGTCGCGCCGAAGCGTGGTGGGCCAGAACCCGCGGAGCGACACGCTAAGCCAACATTCCTGACCGTAGGGCCCCCGTGCGGGCCCAAGGACCGCCAAAACAGGCTCAGGATGAAACGCTGGCCCCGGACCCGTCTCCCTCAGGAGCACTTTCCTTCATTCAAGGCCTCCCAAATCGAGTCGGAGTAGATGGGGTCGGAGGATCGCGCCGCATCGAACGGTGCATCGCCGATGCATCCACGATACATTGGCGACGTCGGCGATGAATCGGCGACGTCGGCGTGGAGTCAGCCGTGCTCCACGTCGAGCAACGTCGGCGACGCATCGGCGATGCGGCGCGATCCTCCGACCGCATCTGCTCCGAACCCATCCGGGAGGCCCAGAGATGTCAGTCCCAGGAAGTGCTCGGCTCACGCGCGCCGCAGGGCCAGATCGGCGGCGGCGCCTCCCACGTCAGCCGCGCGTGCGTGCTGCCCCCCCTCCTGGAGGCCCTCTCCCCCCTGGTGAGCATACGCTTCCAGCGAGTGCCGTTTTCATGGTCCTGTGCAAGGCCGTGGCCTGTTCCGTGGCCCTGCCTTCCTCTCTCCCACCCCGCTCTTCCCCCTATCCTCCTCCTCCCCCGCGCTGCAGCGCAAGAGCTGGCCGCGCGCGCCCTCAGGGGGGGGGGAACCGGGCAGGCAGAGGGCGCAGCCCTGCCCCGAAGGCTACTGACAAGCGCCTGCGACCATCCCCTCCTCTTCCTCCTCCTCCTCCTCTTTCTCCTCCTCCTCCCTCCTCCTCCTCCTCCTCCTCTCCTCCTCCTCCTCCTCTCTCCTCCTCCCTCCTCCTCCTCCTCCTCCTCCTCCTCCTCCTCCTCCTCCTCCTCCTCCTCCCCTTCTCCTCCGCCCCCTCCGTCCACTCCCTCCGCTCCCTCCCTCCCCCCTTCCCCGCTTCGCCGCCCTCCCGCATTCGCTCTCTCTGTACATCCTTTCGCTCCCCCCGCTCCGCCCCCATGCGAGCAATGCTCAAACCGTTGGAAGACAACCGTTTGAAGACCATGATGCGTATCAAAACATCCTTTCCGGGATTCCAACGCCACGGATCAACCTGACTGATGCGTCATGGCCACCCTGAATCGTGCCAGAACGCCATTCCTGGGACTTCAACACCGCGAATCAACGTAAATTTGCGCGCTCATAACCCCGAATCCTTCCAAAACCACTTCTGGTACGCTGATCATGCGAATCCGTGGGGCTCTTGCAAATTTCAACGAATGTGCGCGGCTCTGGGGCGAGATCCACATTTTGAAAAGGAACCGCCCTCAATCCGTGAACCTCTTGCAAATTTTAAAACAAATGTGCGCGGCACTAAAGAGAGGGCCACATGTTGAAATAGAATCGCCCTCAGTCCGTCAAGCTCTTGCAAATATTGTCAAACGAATGTGCGCGGCGCTAAGGCGAGGCACGCATTTTGAAAACGACCGGCCCTCCATATGTGAAACAGTTGCCACTTCTTGGCTTCAGGGTCATTCGCGGTGAGGAAGTCTCAGGCGAAACGCCCAGACCGCCCAAAAAAACTGCCCTCGGGGAGCGACAGGGAGAATTTACTTATAAGGACAACGGAATGGAAGAGGAGCAGGAGGAGGAGAAGGAGGACCAGTGTAAACCCAAGAGCCATCAGCGATGTTGGAATCCCCCCCCCTCCAGGCTCCCTTTTCACAGGCCCCTACAAGGGTTCATTTCCACTGAAGGAATTGCCCCGTTGGAAAACAACCGTTTGAAGACCATGACGCGTATCAAAACATCCTTCCCGGGATTCCAACGCCACGGATCAACCTGACTGATGCGTCATGACGACCCTGAATCGTGCCAGAACGCCAGTCCTGGGACTTCAACACCGCGAATCCATGTAAATTTTGCGCGCTCATAACCCTGAATCCTTCCAAAACCATTTCTGGTACGCTGATCATGCGAATCCGTGGGGCTCTTGCAAATTTCAACGAATGTGCGCGGCGTTAAGGCGAGAACCACATGTTGAAAAAGAGCCGCCCTGAATCCGTGAAACTCTTACATTTGTTCAAAAGAATGCGCGAGGTGCTAAAGCGAGAGCCACATGTAAAACAAACCGCTCTCAATCCGTGAAGCTCTTGCCACTTTTTAGCTTCAGGGTCATAAGTGCTGAGGAAGTCTCAGGCGAAACGCCCAGACCGCCCTAAAAACTTGCCTCGGGGTGCGACAGGGAGAAGTTATTTTGAAGGACAAAAGAGTGGAGGAGGAGGAGGAGGAGGAGGAGGAGGAGGAGGAGAAGGAGCATGAGCGGGAGGAGGAGGAAGATTACGGGCGGGGCTCCGAAGTGGTCACCAGCCCCCTCCACCGAACCCACCCCCTCTTCCCTCCACCTCTCCTCCACCTCTACTCCCTCTCCAATCCGCTCCTCCTCCTCCTCCTATTCCTATTCCTATTCCTATTCCTATTACTCTTCCTCCTCCGCTCCACCCCCCTCCCACGTTAGACCGCCGCTTTCATGTGAGAGATTGGCGATCCCCCTGCTCGTGCAGACGTTGGCACGGCCCACTGGCTCTGGTACCTCGAACCATCGATGCCTACCCTGCGCACCATCCTGCCGATGCCTAGCCTAGGCATCGACAGTTCGACGCCCAGACATCACCAGGTCGATTCCCAGGCACCTGCTACGCCCAACTACGTCGATTGACGCATCCCTCGATGCGTGCGTAGGCCTAGCCATGCGGATACCTGGGCATCGGCGGTGGCACGCCGAGGCATCCACATTGCCATGCATGACAACTACGATGATGCGTAGGCATCTAGGCGGGGAGGGGGTTCAAGGTGATGGCTGGGAGTAGAGCGAGCGGGCCGACCGAACGCAGACGTGCTTGCTGCTCTAGTGGGGAGCCGAACCGCTGCGCCCCTCCCGAGGGCGCGAGAGAGGAGCCGGGCGGGCCGTCCCGCGGCGGCGACGCTGGCGTCGGCCTCGAGCAGGGAGCGCAGCGCGAATGCAGCGCCTGGGGGGAGGGGGTCGCCTACACTCTGCTTGGGCCCTGTCCCCAGAACGCAATCACTTATGTAAATCCGCCACCGCGCTTGCAGCGGTTGGTGTGGGTCGGGCCCTTTCGCTTTCTGCGAAGACTAATTCGGCCCCCCCCCAGCGCATCGAGCCCACATTTTTGTGATCAAGTCCATGCGTTTTTGGCCTTCCAGGCAGACATGGATCCCAAACACACAGCCTGGGGAGAAGGGCTTCCGTGGCCGCTCCCCCCGTTCCCCCCCCCCGCTCCCGCGCCGGCCCAAGCGTGGTGGCGGAATCGCGCGGCAGCGCAACTGGATCATAGTCCACCGCGCCCAGGCACTCGTCGCAAGACCACGAGAAGGGGTCGGCGCGCCTGGGCATGACACAGGTCTGGTCGTGACATGCGAGGAGGAGGAGGACGAGGAGGAGGAGGAGGAGGAGAGGAGGAGGAGGAGGAGGAGGAGGAGGAGGAGGAGGAGGAGGAGGAGGAGGGAGGAGGAGGAGAAGGAGGAGGAGTAGGAGGAGGAGGAGGAGGAGGAGGAGGACCGAAGGGCGCTGGGCGGCCGAAGCCACCTGCCGCACCTCGGCGCGCCCCCACGCCGAGGGGCGCCGCAGTGGTGTCGCGAGCGGCCCTGGCGCCCGCCGGCGCTCTGGCCAGGAAAGTGCTTGGCCTGGCGCCACCGGGCCAGCACGTGCCAACCTTCGGTGGTTCGCCTCGGAGCGGAGCGGAGCGAAGCGAAGCGCCGGAGTCGTGCGCGCTCCTCTCGGGAACCCGCCCGTGCTCATCAGGGCATGGCGTGGAGGCCGTGGCCGCGAAAGTGTCAGCTCTGTACCTGCCCGTCGCCTCGGAGCGGAGAGGGGAGGAGGAAGGCGGGGGTGAGCGGGGAGCGGGGGAGCGGGGGGAGGGAGCACGGGGAGGGCGAGGGAGGAAGGGAGAGGGGGGGGGGGTAGGCGGGCACAGGAGGAGGGAGGAGAGAGAGCCAGGACAAGCCGGGTGCTCTCGCGCCAGATCTGACATCCTACCCCTCCCACTCATCCCTCCCCATTGCGTTTTCTTGTCTCTATCCGCCGACGCGTTTCATAGCGGACCTGGAACTCCAAAGAGGACCCCGTCGTGTTATGCGCATTGGAGGAAGTGGCGGATGAGCAGGAGGAAAGGAAGGAGGATAAGGAAGGAGAGGGACGAGGAGGAACTGCAACAGGAGGAGCAGAAGGACCAGGGGAAGGCGGAGGAGGGGAAATGAGGGGGGCGACAACGATTAAGCATGACTCGGATCCAGAAAAGTGGCCAGCCCTGGGGCGAGAGCGCCATCCTGAACGACGGGAGCAAAGTGCCGATCCGAAAATGAGGCCCACGCTGCAGCGTTGACCCCCTTTGGAAGCACCGAAAACAATCGGATTGCAGCACGCCCTGCGTATAGCAAGAATGCAGGGATAGGGCCGAACATTTTCCCGATTGAGTAAGTGGAGAGAGGAGAGAGTTGCATTCGTAGTGTTCAAGTGTCCAGGACGGTGGCCTACATCCGAATACGCAGCAGGTCCAGGCAACGAGACATGGGCAAGGATGGGGAGCGGAGGGAGGGAGAGAGCAGGCAGGGGGGAGGAGGAAGGGAGGGAAGGAGGAGGACAGGAGGGAGGGAGGGAGGGAGGGAAGGAGGAGGGGATCCAGTGGCAATGGAAGGAGGAGGGGGGAGGAGGGAAGGAGGGGAGGCCACGGGGTACGACCAGACCGAGCGAGTGCGCAGAGCAACAGACAAGAGGGGCAAAGAGAAGGGCAAAGGTCGAGGGCGCGCAACCCGACGATTAGACGGAAAGACAGCCCGAGGCGCCACCTCAGGCTACCGCAGACGGAGCCAGAAGCAGGCGTCGTCTGTGGGGAAGAGGGGGCGGGGCTCACCCCGCCACTCGCCCGAAAGGGGATCTTTACCCGCCTCTAGGCGCTTCAAATACGTGGCGTCTTTGCTGGATGCAAAACCCTCACACTGGCCCCAAAGGCGGGAACGAGGGGCCGACGGCTGGGCCCTGGCACCGCAGCGGTGGCAGAATGCAAGGGTCTCGCCAGCAAGACTAAGATGGTGTCCTCTAGCACTACTGGGCCCTACAGGGCCCTGAGCGGGGAGAGGGACCTCAGGGCGGGTGGCATCACGCGCAACCCAGGAAGGCGCACCAGGACCTCCAGAGGTCCGAGGGCGCTTGCATGGCGGAGGCCCCACAAGCCCGCCAGAGCCCACAGGCCCGACACCGCCCGACACAGAGGCCGAAGCCGCCGTCCGAGGCGCCTTCGGACGCGGGCCCTCCAGGGGCCCACCCGCCCTGCGGTCTCTCACCGTCCTGGCAGGAGCGGGGGGGGGTGGCGGAGGGGGGGGGGGACCTGCGCGGCCAGGGAGCGTGCCTCTTTGGCGCGCCGACACGCCTCCCCCAACTCAGCATCCAACTGATCCTCACCCCCACCATCCACCTGGAACCTCACCCGCTTAAAAGCCAAGGACCGCTCAAGACCCTCGGTCGCGATGGGCGGCGAACTCTCTGGCCCAGCTGAGGCTTCGACGCTTCGAAGCTCCAAGGAAGGGCTAGCCTCAGAGGGGGGGGCCGAGACGCTCCCGCAGGGCCCACCAGGGCCCCTCGGCCCAGCAAGGGCCGCAGCCAAGGAAGGCTCAGGCGAGACACCCTCGAGGCCCCAGAGGGCCGCCGCCTCCGCGACCCTACAAAGATTCTTCCTAAGTCTCGCAGCACCTTTCGGCGTTACCGCGTAAGCGGGGCATCGATCACAACTATACTTCTTGCCCCTCAGCCTCACTCGATGCAGGAGCTGAAGAGGGCAGGCCTGTCCGCCTGCGGGCGAGCCCGTGCCGCGTCGCCCCCCTCCAGCGCCGCTGCCTGCAGCGCCAGCCGCGGCCAGCTGCGCCCAGCGGCCGCGCAGCTCCATGTCGCGTCTCCGTGGGACGTCCACGCGGTCGGGTGTCACGGTGCCGTCGAAAATCATCCTGGACGAGTTAGCAATCCAGGTCGCGACCGATCTGAGCGTACAGAGCGAGTCGGTGTAGCTCTTGACAATAGCTTGGGGAAGGTCGTGCAGCTGGCGACCCCTCTTAGCCGCTTGGTCTGCCAAATCGTTGCAGCGACGATGCCAGGAGTCCTCACTGGAGTGGCCCTTGACGTACGAAAGCCGAATCGGACTCTCCAGGTCTCCAGAAACGGAAAAACCTCCATGATCCTCCAAGTGGTGAAATAGGCGACGCCAAAGATCCACATTCTCACGCCTCGGGTTTAGACACCAGCGCCTGCCACGCGCCAGCCCCTCGAGCAAAGGCATGTAGTCCGTGAAGATATGGAGCGGGGCCACACCGACGGATAGCACCTGAATCATTGCGTGCAACTCACCACGAGCGGACGTCTGGCGATGGCCAGGCAGCGGCCCAAAGACCGCTCCGTAGTAGCAAGCATCACCAACAACCACGAAACCCCATCCCGCACGGTCTGCAGCGTCCCAGTGGAGCAGCTTCCTGCACGACCCGTCAGTGAACACCGAGCCCGTGACGACAAAATGTTCATGGGCCCGAGCTCCACGATCGTAGCGCCAAACACCAGAGTCATTCCTGGGCGGCAAGGCAGGAAGAAAGGAGTTGGGGTAAAGCCCACGCGAATAGAGCAAGTCACCAGGTGGCGCCCTCTTCGCCGCTTCCAGGGTGGCCCCGGACGCCATCAAACACATGGCATTGCCAGTGCCTGTGGTGGGCGGTACCTTCCACACCAGGACAGTTCCTGCATTCAGGGCAGTGAGCGTAAGCATGACGGTGCAAGCGCTTCTGCGTGAAATGACCACCCACTACCGCAGTACGCAACGCAGCCCGAGCCAGCGGATCCAACACCCAACGCTTGGCCTTGGGGCCAGGGCATAGCAAAGCACGTATGGGACTCAACCAAGCACCAGCAGGGTCCTTGTGAGACGGACCATCAAGCTGAGGCATCACCTCAGGTCTGGCGGCCCATTGGTACCAGCATGCGATCTCATAGTCCTTTAGCGCCAGCCACTTGACCCCTGACGGGGCCACCTCACGCAAGTCCATAGTAACACCACCACGAGTACGGACTCGAAACGCTGAGGAGACTGTCCAGCCCAAGAAAGACATAGACCGCGCAAACGCACCAGCTGGGCCAGCCACCAGCTTCCAGCTCTCCTGCCAGTCAACCGAGGCCGCTTTCCAGTATTGAGAGCGCCAAGCCGTCTGCAGCGTAAAATGATCAACATCCCCCGACTGAATCAACAAAGCCCAGTTGAAAACAAGTCCAACAATGGCCAAGGTCGCAGGTTGAGACTCAAAGTCCCCTTCCAACCTCGATGCAATCCAGTGCGACGCCCCAGAGGGAATGGCATGCCAGCCCAGCTTCGCCAGGGAAGTCACGCGCTTGATCAGGTGCGGCCCAGCGCCCAGAATGCCCAAGCCGTAGGTAATAGCGGGGCCGACAGCTGCTTTGGGAACCTGCCTGAACTTCGCTCCAAGGTGGCTCAGCCTCTTGAAGTGCCTTGCCCGCTTTAACGCGCATCCGACACGACCCCGAAGCACTCGATCACGAACACTCTTGCCAGCGGCCACCTCAAGACCCAGGACCTGCAACCAGGACCTGGCCTGAAAACCGTACCAGCGCATAAAACGAGCCACTGCGGGGGCTACGGCATCATCGGACGCGGTGAGGAACGCCTTTGACTTCGCCACGGGAAGGCCGAGGTCCTGCAGGGTGTCACAGAGCAAAGCAACCGCATCAGTGGCGATCCTGCACACATCCGCCCGTCTGGCCATCACTTGCAGAGTCAAGTCGCCAGCGAAGATGTCCAACGAGAAAGAAAAACCCACCTGAGCAGGGATGCCGAGACCGACCGTGCTGACGAAATCATCCATTGACGCAAGCATCAGTAGCTGCACAAAGGCCATGGCGAACTTGCATCCTGGAAGAACGCCCTGAGACACCGTAACGGCATACGACGTAGCCTGCTGC